TCAAATAATGTCAGGAGAAACTCAACACAACATTCATTTCATGTCAGACAGGTTGTCAGGGACTTACATCTGTAACATTGACAACTCCAATCTGGGGTCTGAACAGGTCCACCTTGAAGGTCTTCTCCCAGTAGGGGATCAGCTGAAGGGGGCCACCAGAAAAAAATATCATATTAGACCTGCCTGCTGAACTAAATATCTATCCACCTTTTCCTTTTCTTGACATGTGTCACTACATTTCTTGTCTGCCTGCCTCTGTGTCTGTCTGAGCTCAGAGGTGTCATGTCTCACCAGGGGAAAGTCATCAGGGTCAATCCAGATGATGCTGAGTTCAGGTATGTTGGTGTTGTCTCTGGCCACCTCCTTCAGGATCTCCAAGAACTCATAACCATCTGGACACAATTTAATTTCATACAACATCAGTGCATACAAAACTAGAAGTATTCAGTATCTAGAACCAGAAGAAGAGAACACATTACAACTGATTTAAAGAAATAGTTTGACATTTNNAGATGAGAAGATTGACACCACTCAGTATCTAACTTCACAAACAAATATTGGTATAACATATAATATGCTCTTACCTGGGTCCTCCTCCTCTGCAAAGGCAACAATGTGGATGCCCTCAATATCATCCTCCTGAGAAGTAAAAGACAAATATAAATGTCAATGACACTTATAGTAATATAAGTGTCAGGTAAAACTAAATTTAAAGTTGTTAATGTTGTCTGCAGCCAGACATTGATCACTCACCCAGGTCTCAAACATATCTTCTGCACGCAGCTTTCTCAGAGTTGGTCTGAAAGCACAGAAAGACATTGAATGTTACAGGATGTTTATGCAATAGTGTGATGCCACCTTACCTGGTGGAGCAAAGGGTGTGACTGAGGACTCTTTGGGCCAAATCATGTGCTGTCATGTTATGGGGGGATTTCGGTTTAGTTCATAATGCTTTGTATTTAGTTATAGTTGGTGTCCATCTTGTTTACCACTTGTTGTGACTTATGGTAAGTTCAGCCGCCAACTCTATATATGTTTCCCCTCCATGTGTCAACGTTTATCAGTTAACACCTTGTTTACTTGCTGCGTTATACTTGACGTAATAGTTACCATTTTGTTGACATCTTTTATAGGCCTACTTCTTAAATTCTTGGTTGATATTGTTTTTGCATTTTTTAGTAAATAAAACCCCAGTTTTCAACTACAAATTCTGTTTGCCTGGTCTCATTTACCGTCTGTGTTCAGTTATGAATTCCACCAGATCCTCCTCAGAGTGAGGCTTGCCTGGGATGGTGACTGGTTCCTCCATGAAGGGCTCATAGAAATCCACCTCGTTCAACTTCAGAGTCAGCTCCTTGGCAACCTGAAGCAACAAACACAGATTACTCAAGAGTAATGATGTGTGTGTGTGTGTTTATTTGTTTGTTTGTTTCTTATAGATTTTTTTACTCACAGATTTCTCAAATGTGGCAAAGAACTTAATGTAGGGCTGGAACTGCTCTGCTGCTTCTTTAAACGCTTCATAATCTGAGGATGAAAGACAACAGGAAGACAGAAAGGCTTATGTAGAGAATACAGTGTTATTATATTGTATTATGTTCTAAGCAGCCGGGGTTTGCTGTGCTCTTGTTTTCTTGATCACATCTGTTTGTGCTTTCTTTGGCTGTTGTATAGGCCTACATGACATTTGCACATCAGGGACCGGAAATAGCTGAACTTTGACCTCTACTTAATGCTCCCACAGTTGGTCAGATGGGATGTAGCTGCAGCTCATCACCACAACTAAACTACTCAGTTCTTCCACAACATGCGAGATGGGACCAGACAGTGGCAGCTGTGTGAGCAGCAGTGGTAAAAATGGATCTGTAAATCCATGGAGATGAAGGGGTTAAAATGCGCTCATGTTATAATGAAGGGCATGAGCCACAGAAAGTCCATCACAGACCCATCTAATAAGGTAGAGATGCTGTGTTCAGACAGCAAAAAACATACGCATTGTACAAATATATCATTTATGCCTGTCACACTCACGCTCAGAGTCCTCGTTCTTGAAGTAGCCAATGAGGCGGATGTCTTCCTCCATCCTATCAAAGGCTCTCAGCTCCAGAGCATTTCCTATCACCTCCACTGGCTCCTCCAACAGCTAGAGACAGACAGAAAGTGGAGATAGAAGTACTGGGGAAAGATGTTGACTTTGGAAAGACTGGTGTTGATGAGGGGTAGCAGCTGGGAATCTGCCCTCAAATTACTCTACTCACGTCCAACAAGAACTCCACCAGGGTGTTAGCAGAGAGCAAGCCGTCAAACTCGATCACCCGATCAGCCTTAAAAACATACACACTGCCCTCCTCTTCCAGGCCTATGATTGAGGGAAATCACACTCAAAGACTGTTTTTAAAGTTATTTGCTGAACCTGCAAGTATCAATTAGATGAAGGAGACTAAATGAAGGTTATGCTGTAGTCGTATACTCACCCAGTTTCTTTGCCACCTTTGCATCTTTGTGGGAGTCGACCATCCCAAATCCAATGTCTTTCTCTTCCATAACCTGAGCTGCAAGCTGCAGCCAAAAAGAAAAAGATCATTAAATGACAAAGTAACATGAAAAGAAACAACAAAAACTGAAAATCATTCACTTTGGGTTCTGAGCACTGGAAACAAAAAAATCCCAGGGTTAACGGGAGATTGACTGCAGTGTTGGGTAAGAGGTCTTAAGAAAGAAATATTAATACCAAAGTTGGCAATATGACAGAGGTGCTCAAGCTGCCCAGGGGCCAAGGAGACATGGTTACATAATCACCCAGACTGTCTTGATCTAAATATAACCATAGCAAGAGAATATGTAATTCTTCTGGCAATTGTTCTGTGACCTACAGTAGGTGAGACTCCTGCAAGAAAGGATTCTTTTACACAAATGGAACAATGTTTGTTTACACTATGATTAATATACTGTCTTCAATGAATAGTGAAAAGCTCTGGATGTTAAAGGTATCCAGTAGTAGCACTATGGAGAAATGTTTTTCACAAGTGGGTCCCAGTTTTGTATTGCCTACGAGGAGGCTAATGCATACGTCTGATTCAGGCGGTCCGATTCAACTGATCTACAGTTGGCAGCAGTGACGTGCCAATAAATATATAAATGCCCCAGCAATGGCAGTGAAGAAGCATTGCTAGCAGGCAAATGTGAATGTAAACCATGTTAATCACATATTTTGTGTGTTTTGTGTGAGAAAATTCCACATGACACATTTAAGTTTTCAAAGAGGAAGTGAACAGATCTCAAACAAGTTGTAAGAGTGAAAAACCATCTGCAAGTTGTGGATATTTGGGACAATTTGGCAAATACGTTACATACTATATTTGCTCACTTCTCAACCAGCAGTCACTGGGTACAGTGGACTGTGATCAGTTTTAACAAGGTCGTCTTTGTACATGGTTACTGTACATGGGTGTCTCACTCTATAGTAACATGGTCCACCTGTGCTGTGTAAAATAAGAGAAGCTAATATCAGTACTGCAAGACCGGGCTCAAGTTACCTTCAACAGATCAAAGAGCAACTCACCCTCAGCCATGTGTAACATGAGACAGGGCACAGTGCACTCTGTTTCCTACTGTATGGGATTCAAACAAAGCGATTCATTCAATCTATCAATTAGACATGTATCCAGCTGCTTAGCTCAGCCTGAATACAAAATACATTTAAGCTGTCTTGCTTTTGCCACCAAAAGGCCACCAAAAACTCCAAAAGAGGAGAAGGTACTTGTGCCCTTCATACGTATTGCTCACAAACATAATACACATAAGCTCTTAGCACTTGGCCTATTTCTGCCAGCGGAGGAGAGCCACAGGGAGAATTAGGAAGCCACATTTCTAAGGGATAGAAGTGCACATTGAATTAAACTGATAGAGATAACCTTAAGTGACAGCACTGCATCTCACTGGACTATTCTGCACTCATGGAGCACATACAGATACACACTGACCTTGAGGAAACTCATACATACATTCAAATGGAAAGGATCTGGAGTTTTAGTTGGCTCTCTGTTTATTGGAGCAGTAATGTGGAGCTTTTAAACTCTAAATCTTTTATATGAGTCTGGTTATTAATACAAAAACATCCAAACAAACCCCCTGTCCTTTCCTTGATCTTTCTTTTCTTTTATCTAATTCTGAGACACTGTTCTTAATTTCATCCCTGCTCTTCTTCCTTTGTCCTGTTCCTTTAATTTGTCCCTGCACCTGTTCTCTACCTGCTTTCTGCTTGGTTTTCCTCTTCTAAATACTTTACCTCCAGCACCAACTCAGTCATCTGGTGTTGTTTTTGCAGCTCCTTGCTGTCTGGTATGGGCCCATGGTAGAACAGGCACACCATGCTGTGCTTCTTCAAGGCTTTCTTGTAGTTCTTGTCATTGATATCTAGGACACGGTCTTTCCCATCATACTGTGGGAACTCCAGGCCCTTCTCAGCCGGGGCCAGAGGCACAAGGCTCAGGCAAGGGAGCAGGAACAACCACAGGGAGAGCATGGTCCGGAGCTACCACACACCCCAAAACGTCAGAGCTAGGTTTTAGTTTCAGAGTATAAAACTGTACAATCAAAAAGGTCACCTAAGCACTGTGAAAGGTGGAAGGGAAATGTAGGAAATGCTGCAGAAAGTTTTAGAGGTAAAAGTTGGTCCGTCAGTGGCAGTTCTCAAGCATTGCAAGCTTTGCAGATAAATCCAATTTTTACAAGCATCTTCAGGACCTAGCAACTCCTTTCTCCCACTGTGATCACTCCTTCACGCCTTTCCCTCTGCAGACACAAAGGCGAAAGAGGAGTTCTGTCAGGCCTGTGAGGTACTGAGGGGGGGGTGGATACCATACATAGCCGCAGCTTCTCTCCCCCTACCCCTGCAGGACAGGCCCATTTTTAGGAGACCAGTTGTTTGAATGCTAAAAATAAAACTGCAAGTGAGAAAGAGAGATAGTAAAGGACAACGGTGGGGGGTTTATTAGTGAGTGCAGTTCTTGCTCCCTGTGATGTCTCTATGAGGGAGTCAGTGATGTGGGAGGAGAGAGCTGAGCCCCAGAGATTTGGGGGTTCAGTTATTTGGAGGTTTCTAAGTCTGTAAGGACCAAAAAACGTGGTGGATGTGTGGTTTGGTGCTAGTGTAGAAAATGAGTGGCAGCTCATGAAGCCAACAGGTGTGTAAAGGGCAACTCAAATAATCTGTGTGCAGTCGTTGTTCTGCAGATGTGGTCTCATGAGTTTTGCATGTGCAATGTGCTTTCTGACCATGAACTGAATATATTCTGTTTAACAACATTCCGTTTGATTTGGGTGTGATTTGCTTTGCTACTAAAGCAAGTTGAAGACTTGAATGGGCCTTCTTTCTCAACAATTTTCCACTTTTTCTCTTCCCAACCGACACATTAACTGAAGGATCTTCCTCTTAAACTGTATACTTAATCTTCACATACGCCATTATTATACTATTGACAAAGCAGCAGCTGCACCTCTATTTTGGCCTCCCTCAAGTCTTCTTCATCTCCAGTACAATAGTTCTACAGCTGTTTGGGAAAGAGCCTCTGCTGCCCTCTGCAGTTACAAACCAAGAACGACCTGCAGAATTATACAGTAATTATCACTCATGAGAGTTTAAGATCCTTATGCAGTAATTCCCAAACAGGTACATTGTGCAGTTGCCAAGGAATATGTGGAAATGTGGAAAAATGTGGCGTAACTTGGAAAACAATATAATATTATAATTTTACAATAAACAAGAACACAAAAGTAGGATTATAGTTCATGTGAATCTGATAAATAACATTAACATTGGCCCTGTTCTATTCAAGTGTACCAGTAAGTCATGACAGTGTGACAGTGGCATGCATAATACCAGGGTCCTGAAACTGAAGCAGCTAATGTTAATGTTAATCCATTAAGTTTTAATATTTACATATTATTTAAGTGAAAATGCCTATCAATTTTCCAAAATGTTGAAAAAGAGCATAGAGTGCCTTAGGTATGAATGTTCAAAGAGCAGTAAGAGGCAAATAAAGTAATTATTTTTACTTGAACTTATGGATAGTGGCGGAAGATAATAGCTGTTCCCAAACAGCAACAATAGACCTTTTTCACAGCACACATTTTGACTTGTCATAGAAGGAAAAGCACAGGTGTTACTTATAACTTCAAAGATGGCTCTGTTCTATTCAAGTGTAAGCCATAACAGTGTGACAGTGAGCCAGCAGGAACAATACCAAAGCCCTGAAACTGAATCATTAGGGACCCTGAATCATTTACCTGAATCAACATGAATATATAATTCTAAACAATAAAACAATAATTAAAAATTTTAACAGTAACAGTGTTAAATAACATTCTTTTCTAAATTAATTTAACATGAAAAAAGAAGACCATTTGGAAGATAGCAGTATAGTGTCAATTATGCAGTACACCAAAAAGGTTGAGAACTACTGTCCTAATGCATAATTGATGCTAATGGATTAAAGATCTTGATATTAAAAAAAAGCTAAACCACAATTAGATACAGAATATTGATTACAAATTTGACCAGCATGAGAAAGGGCCGCTTTTGTGAACATCTAGTCATGCTGCTGCTACTGAGGATTTGCTTTAAGTGAAGTGTTGCATTATCTAGCTAAAATGTTATTGATCACATCACTCTGTTGTATCTGAGCAGTCCAGTCCTCCTTGATGTATTGGTGGTAGGGGTCATTAGAGTGCTCTCTCCTCTTCGATTTGACTGTGCTCACCAGGATGGCCACAACAATGAAGGCAAACATCCCAATCATAACCGCCAGATACCAGATGACATTCCTGAAGTTCTCCTCAGCCAGAGTCTTGTCCAAAGCACTGGCTGCTGCTGTCATATTACGCCTCCAGTTGTCCAGGTAATTACCCAAAGCACTGGTCAGGGAACCCTCCAGATGAAGGGTCAGGTTGGACCAATCAGATGCACTCATCTAGTTGGGCGGAGGGGAACAAAGGATGATTTTCTGCTATTTCCAAAAAGATTAAGACAAATTCTATTTGTCTATTCAGAGAATTGAGTGTATTGAAACCAAATTCTATTAATATCTAGTTGTATTAATAGAACTTAGACTTGTGCAAACTCAATTCTACAGTAAGCATAAGGGAGGGGGAAGTAGATTTAAGGTACATTTTTATCAAAAGTTATTTCACCAAATACCCAAGGTGAACATGCTGATTTTTAAATAACTTAATTACTATGGATAATTCAATAACACACACATATTCCTGGGAAAAATAAGCGAAGGCTGTGAAAACACATTTGTGTTTTCTACAGAACTAAAATAGCTCATGTCAACTAAGGTAAATAATAATTACATGGTTACGCAGTTGAGGAAAAAACACCCTTAGATGTTATTTATTAAGACTTTAACTAAAAAACTCAGACTGAATGGGTGTGGTTTGTTCAAATTTGATTGACAGTGGCCTCGGCAAACTAACTTTTAACTGTTGCCAGATTCAAATTTATCTAAATTCTGATGTGCATTGAATCAAGTATGGAAATTTATAATTTTTCAAACACCAGTCTTGCCCATTTCAATCCAGTATAACACAGAAAACAATATATTATAAAGAGTGAGGTAAAGTGAAATAGCCCAGACTAAGACGTTTACGTAGGACCCCATCACTTATGGTAAGAAGCTGAGAAAACAGGTTTTTAGAGCCGTGAAACTGTTTTGTAATATATAGACAGAATGAATAAGGAACACAAGCTATAAAAAAGGCAGCATTCATCAAGTAATAAAGCTCTAAAAGGTCATATCCTCAGTGCCCAAACTGACCTTTAACTGCTTCAAAGTTATTTGGCCACCCACTTATACTCATTCAAGCATATCCAACCACATGAAGAACATTTTTTCAACTCTTCTATACTGTACCAACCTTTTCCCAGGTTTCCGAAGGCCACGTCAAGAAACTGGTCAGGAGATGAAGACACCTTGGAGTGAAAACAAAGTAAAGAGGCACTGGCAGGGAGCACGGCTGGTTAGAGTAAGATACAAAGAGATTAGCTCAGAAGAACACAGTCAACCACTGCTCATACTTTTGTTTACTTTTTTTATCTTTTCTGCTTGGCTGAACAGTGGCTTTTGAGTTTTTGTGTGCAGGTGAGAGGGAAAGATAGTGTGGCATGACTTTGAAAGTGTTATGCACACAAAATGCTGATATTTCCTCCAGCTGATAAAGAAAAGGGAGTGTCGGAAGTCATAACCCGCCACAAAAACACACACACACACCGTTTCCAAACTATGGCAACTAATATGGGTCAAAAACAATTTAATATTGACCTGACTGGTTTGAGACTGTTTATTCACGTGTAATTCCTAATCTGCCCACACAGAGCACCATACAAAGGAAACTAATTCCAGTCTATGGTAGTTTACTGTAACTTCCTCTAGATGGCAGTATAATGCAACACATTTTGGAGTCATACTGACATGCACTTAAATTTCTTTTTGTCTTCCTGTAAAAAAAAAACGAAAAAGCTAATTTGTGTCATATGGTTTCATATGGAACTGAAATAGGGTCTTTATAGGGTAAAATGAGGTATGAATTTTAGCCACAAAGCAGCACTCTGAATGCATTAGAGAGCCATTGTCTTGCTCAAGGACACTACAGCTTTGTATCTGTTTGCTGACAAGAAAGCTTGAAACTAGATCCTGTGTTTGAGTGCTGGTGTCTCTCCCCCTCAGAGCTACACTGCTGGAGAGGATGACTCCCACCACCTTTGATCATTCCCAGATTATTTATGTTTTGCTATGCAGTGCCAGCGGGTGGACACTATGCTGACTTTCTGCTCTGTAGAGGGAAAAAAGTTTTTTTTTAAATGGGACAGTACATACAAAGAACACAAACAAAGAAACAGATACTAAAATAGTTACACACAGATAAGTGGAACTGAGACTGGTAAATTTCCACACTCTAAAGGATTAGCAGAGAAATGACAGGGAGAAATATTGACAGCAAGATCCTAATCTAATTTGCATATTAAAAACTGTTTTATTGCAAATGCAAAATAGCTAATGGAAATTAGATTTTGTATAATAAAAAATTAAATTGTATCCAAATCTCCCCTGGAGTTTTTTCATCTATTTCTTTCGGTTTCTGGTCAGTTTTCAACTATTGCACATCCTGATTATGTGGCATCTGATGTTTTATAAGTTAATGTTTCTTTAAAAGATCAGGAATTTCTCTGTTGGCTCAGTGTGTTGAAAGCACGTTACAACACAATGTGTGTTGAAATGAACTGACACCAGGGGACCAGAACATCTGACGCTTTTCACAATAAAAGATAGGGATACTGCATCAATCTTAAGAGCTTTGTTATCTTTCCCACATGTAAAATCACTCAGCAGACCAATCTTTTGCAATGGTAAAAGTAGAAATACAATGGTATAATTCAATGATGTGAATTTTATGCAACACTCTTGAATGCTGAGGTTAAAAGTATTACAGATTTGAAGCATAATTCTACAATTTTCTAAAACTTTGGTCCAAGTAAGTGGTCATGTGGTCAGACTACTCAATGGGATTTTCCACAACCTGGCAACCCAAAGGTTATTAATGGCTTATAACTGATCTTATAACTGATTAGTTGCAATTTATAAACTGAGGATACCAAACTACACTTCAAAGCTGCAATACCTTTACCCTCAACATACAAGTATGTTGCATTAAATGCACACCTTTATTTTTAAATAATTATGGTACCCATTGTTCTGTTTAGGTTACACCGCTTCAGTTGGCTGTCCAACACTGCAATCTTTATAGTTGCAGATAATGTCATTTGTATATTCATAATTTTCTATCAAACTAACTAGAACTTACAGTTATAAGGGAGTGCAATGTAATATAACAGTATCAGGGAAATTATGCAAGGCCCACATGACGCAAATACTTGATTCAAAGTACTATCATGAGGTACAGCTCCTCCTGGGTGTAAACACAGTAAAGCTGTGACTGAAATGTCCAATGGCCATCTGACGTCATCACAAGCCGGGTTGCATTTAACATCAGTGGTCAGAGACGGACCAGAACAGCAGGACGGAAACCCCAAGGCAAAACTGATACATGCAAGAGCGGGCAGTGGAGCCAGTGAACCATAAACCTCCCCTCTAGACGCAAATGTTATAAAAACCCAGAATCTGCAGATTCACACACTGACACCATATACTAGTGTCTACTTATTTATTCCCACATAGGCATGAACACAGTCAACTGAGGCATATTCTGTTGTCTCACAGGTCAAGTGTTTCTGTTAGTGTGTGTGTGTGTGTGTGTGTGTGTGTGTGTGTGCTTGCTCGTGGGTATTGGTATTATGATGTCATTCATAAAGTCACAGGAGTCAACATACACCATTATGTAAACGAGTAAAAATAAAAATTATGAAATGATGACACACCTGAAAAGGCATTTAGGATATAAACTAGTATCTAAGTTTGACTTAGGTCTTGACAAAAATGACATACAGGCACAGCGTAGCATAATAAATCACACATTTAGACAGTTGTAGCCTTTTAAAGCTAACATGTTATTTTAATCATAATACCATTGCCGAGATAACACTACTGTTTATCGTTTAGGGGGAAATAACATGTTTCTATTACATATATTTATGACACTGCTTCTCCCAGGAAAATGCCAAACATGGTACAAGGTGAATAAAGTCTGGGCCCTGTGAAGAGAACAAGAAGGCTTGAAACATTACACACTTTTAACGTGACCTGCCACTCCTTCTGTTTTAGATATTTTCATACATCTTCGCCTATTTTCTGAAAGCCTCCACAGTGAGTTCAAAGTCCCATGCTATTAAGACCATGTGACAAATGCGATAAGGACTGTTTTTCTCTGTACGTTATAATCCACAAGAATAAGAACTATTGATAAAGTTTGCTTCATTACATATACATACATAACCTGCTGTTTTCTTCTTAATCATATCAATAACTCAGTTTTCCACATCAGCAGACTCTTTATCAGCACTTCACACTTGGCACTCCAGCAGCCACGTTGTTGGTACGTCACAAATCAACAATGTTGTTTTCGATTATCAGTTTGACCTAGAAATACAGGAAAAGGCCTCACCGGTGTATGCTTCATTGATTCTCATTCATTATGCTCTAGGCACTATTCTTCCTGCTGTTATTACTAAGGGAGGTAAATATTTCCTTTTGCCACTGAAGCCCAGTTCCATGGATTAATGCCAGAATACCAAGCCTGCCGCCAAAGTTTAGTCGGGGCTGTGCACGGGGAATGTTAGGAATGTATTGACTATGTGTTTGCCATATATTTGAAAGGTCACTCCACATTCCCTACATGGCTGCTTCCGTTCTCATCACAATAAGAATGAATAACAGAGACATTTTTTGTTTCAAAATGGCTCAATAGCAAATGAAGCTCAAGGCATTCCAGGTGATGGAAGAAAACAAGCAAAAATGTAAAATCATGTAGATAGTCTCTTTCATTTCAGTTGTTGTATGGTCTTAATAACCATGATTCCATCTTTTAAATGCAATGATAAAAATTAATAGGATTATGCAAAACAAAATACATTTTATTTTATTTTGAGCATTACCCATTCATACAATGCATTAGTATTCACTGATCACTCTAATCTCTGATTTTCCTTTATGCAAAGTTCTGAGGTCCCGGAAAGTTTGTGGGCTCGAGAGGTCATCCTATGCCCTTCCTTTGCAGACCAGAGACTGGCTTCCATCTGCATGTGAATGCAAAACAATGCACAAAAAAGTTTTTCTCCCAAACAAAGACTTCACCAAGTGAGCTCACTGACTAACTCATCGACTAGCCTGGTTGAGCTTGTTACATGGAGATTGGATCTTTAAAAATGTAGCCTGTTTAGATTTCGTGGAACATGCTTGCACATTATCACGAAAGGAAACAAAAGAGTGGCATGTCAACATACACCCAGAGAAGTCTCAATACTATTAACATACTACTGTCAAAAACCAGCTAGACTGGCCTACAAGAGAAGTAAATAGTTTTAAGGCTTTCAGATGTAAAGGTTGATTGGGAGGGTTTTATTGTTTGTTTTAAATATGTACCACTCCCTATGAAGCAGAGTTGATTTGAATGGTACTGCTTCTTTGTTGTCAAAAACATATGGAATTTAAAGGCATTCTGACACATTTGTCAAGATGCAATCAGCATGCACCTAGATGCAGCTGCTGGATAATAGAATTTCAAACAGTTCAAATCAAGAAATGCTATCAAAACATGCATCAAAGTGAAAAAACAAACATCGATAGACCTGTGTCCCAAATGCAGATATACACCAATGAGCCATAACATTATGACCACAGGTGACAGGTGAAGTGAATAACATTGTTACCTGGTTATCAAGGCTCCTGTCAGTGGGTGGGATATATTATGCACTAGCAAGTGAACATTTTGCCCACAAAGTTGATGTATTAGAAGCAGGAAAAATGGGCAGTGTAAGGATGTGAGCGACTTTGACAAAGGCCAAATTGTGAGGCTAGATTATAACCGCCAGGATGCCCAGGTGGTATTAATGTTATGGCTAATCGTGTACTTACAACAGCTTTTACCTCACCTTTACAAGTTTTTTTTATTTTGGTTGAAAACAGTCTAATATATACTTATCAATAATACTACCAATTATACTATATCATCCTACCTCTACACCCATACTATATATATACTAATATATACTATCTGCGTATATATATATATATATGTCTTTTCCATTGACAGCCAACGTAAGCAATATCTTAATATCTTGATAATAGAACTTGTTGTAAGCGCATAATGAAGTGCTGGGAGGACTAGTTCAGGGCATGAATGTTTATATCCCCTGTCCAAAGATTTAAAACATTATCTTGACTATTAAGTAGTCACAATAGAGGGAGAAAGCTGGGTCACTGACACTGACACAGATTACCAGTAGGATGTAGACTAAGTAGGTTATGTTTAAGTTATGGTATTTTAGTGGGGGAGTCTTGTTCAGTATGCCAAACAAATTGGCATCTTATCCTCCACAGAGTTCACCTGACACTGATATGTTATATGTTGTACATTATACAAATTTTATATCTGTGAATAGAACTTTTGTAATTTGTGGACAATATTTTGATGAAATTTGCAAGCCTGCAAAAAATAACTGTACATTATATAATTACATTCATATAAAATGACTTTTAAATGCATGTTACAAATAGCTATTGACTATGCAATAATGCACACAGCCTTATTAATCCCATCTAATAATATCATCATTCCAATGCATTGAAGTCATTTGGAGCATTTGTTTCAGACTATTGTTTGTGTTTTCACTGTCCGAAATAGACAATGAACAAAGCATGGCATGGATGCCAGTACTTTTCCACAAGGACAATATCATTAGTTTCCTCT